TCCTGGAACCGCATCACTCAGTATCTTGCTGAGCATCAGAGGACTGTTATGTGCTGTGAGTAAGGCTACGATTTTGTCATGGAAGTCACGGAGTCCATGACTTCAGCCAGCGGTGGCTGAGAGCTGCGGGGTACTGGTGCCCCCTGAACTCCAAGCCGCTGCAGGCAGCAGGGGACCCCCGCTGCCCTCAGAGCTCCCGGCCACCACAGGTGGCTGGGGGGACTCCGCAGCTCGGCACCACAGGTGAAGGGGGACCCTGGAGCTCTGAGCCCCCATGGGTGGTGGGGAGCCCCAAAACTCCCAGCCGGGCTCCCAGCAGCTGCCCAGTGGCTCTCCATTTTGTCAAGGATATTTTTAGTAAAAATCATGGACAGGTCACAGGCTTCCATGAATTTTTCTTTATTGCCTGTGACCTGTCCGTGACTTTTACTAAAAATATCAATAACTAAATCTTAGCCTTAACTGTGAGCCAATAGGGTGCCTTGCTGCACAGGCACACATCTTCAAAAGAACCCCGCAAAATGCCTCATGTGCCCCTGAATTATCTGGTTCTACAGAATGGGAAACTGGGGCAGATCTGTCACTGAAGTGTCTGGGAGAGCATAACTCACTAAGAGGAGCGGCACAAATTGAACCCTTCCCAAATAAGTAACAGGACCAAAAAAAAAAAAATCAATCAATTTTTTATTGCATATTTACAAGTAATCTGACCCTGACAGAATAAATACCTACAGTATCTTATTTATATAAAGTATGGATAATTCACATCCCTTTTTCACCTGTATAATAAAGCTGTTTAATATTTACACACATACTATGAGTTAATGTTTACAATAGAGGGGACTTTTCCTCCATTAAATATATAAATCGCTCTCTTTAAAGTTATCAAATTAAAACAGCAGACTCCTTTATTCTAGAATAGAGGCAATACTTACATCAGAAACTTTATCTGATGATGCCACCATGCCATTTGAATGGATTATTGTTTTGGAGTGGGGTATCTTACAGAACAAACAGAAAGACATGGTCCTTGATCAAAGAAGAACAATCTAAATATCTGCAAAACATATGGAATACATCATCTGAACAATCAAAAACATGAGCAACAAATTTGTGCGATGCACTGAACTTTTACATCTTTTTTTATTTAAGAAATGAGGGGACGGCTTCAGAAGACAGGTGAGATGTGGAGGTTTGAGTGTAGGGTATTCTGTTATGGAGGAAAATTAAATAGTCCCCAAAGAAAAAACGACCAATCAGTGCACAAGTGTTTATTATGCAGAGAGAGAGAGAGAATGAGAGAGAGATACAAACTCACAAAATATTGCATCCTAAATCCCTCTACTTCCAGCATATTTAGTTCAGATTCTCAATAAAAGAGGGTTTTCCAGACACACAGGAACCCCCTCCTGGAAGATTTAACTGGGTTAACTCAACTTCTTCATTCCCTGCTCCAAAACCCCAACCTTTTTGGCCTGTCCCAAGGGAAAACCTCCTCCAGCATTAACCTTGGAGACAAAACTTTGCTTGAGAAAGCCTCTACTGGGAAGTAAAACCCATAATAGAGGAAAGACTGACAGTTCATTACACTGAACTGTCTAAACAATGAAAGCAAAGTACAAACAATTCACACATGGACTAACTCCTACTAGTACACCACCTCAATTAGGCCAAATAAAATCCCTTATGTATGAGTGAAGGTAGCTGCTCTCTTCTTTTAGGTCCTAGGCAGCTGCTCTGTCGCCCATACCATCATTCCCACCCCATGAACCCACTTTAATCTATGGTTATTTGCATGTGGAAGAGTCTACCAGAAAACACAGTGGGATTGTTTAAGAATAATTTAGCCATTCTGTAATTACATTTGAATGGATAATTATATTGTAGACACCTTGGGCAGGGAAAAGGTCCTTTTGCTTTTCTGTCAAAGACTATGTTATACCTACTGGTATAACTCCACAGGATGGAGTTATTGGGCAGGTTTCCTGTCCAAAGGGCAGGGGGGCAAAACTAAGATGAGGACTTGTCCTTTCTCATCTTAATCTTCTGCTTTTGTATCAGAGGAAGTATTGTATTTTGAACTCAAGGCAAATAATGTTGTCTAAGTATGTGATATTAAAGGTGCTTTGTTTCTAAAACAATATTTTAATAGGAAACAATCCCTGATGTCAATTTGAGATCTCAGTCCCCAATCCTGCAAGGTGCTGACTATCTCCCAATAGGTATTGACCACCTCCAGCTTGCACAGAAGTCAATGGGGTTTTAGACAGCTCAGCACCTTGCAGTAGTAATCTTACACATTAACCCTTTTTTATTGGTTGAGTATCATGCTACTTTTTAAATTCAATTAAAGTATATGGCACAGAATTAGAATTGAATGCCCAGAGCTATGCTGGAAGACTCTACACCCCCCCATTGCAATTAAATAAGGAGATAGTATCAGCCTCCAATATTATGTGTCTCACCCATCATACGTAGAAATGGTCAAACTTTTTCAAAATTCACCATTTCGATGAATTTTTTCAAAGAAATTCCAATGAAAAGCTGCAGGATGAATTTTTTGTCAATGTTATAAAAATTACATCTCACTTTTTGACCAGGTCTATCAGAAAAATAGACCTTTTATTACAGAAACATTTTAATATGCAGTATACTAGATTTCCCCCTAGTCTATAATGTTACTGCTAACACAATATCATTTTTTTGGTATAATTTAACAGTTTGCTCTCATACACAGGGCCAATACAGTAGCCCTTACTAAGCGGGAATACTCATGTGAGTAAGGGCTGAAATATCAGTCCCATAGTACATCCTCAGTGCTGCAGACCAGATCTATAAAAACGATTTTAATAAAGGGAAAGAGTATTATTACATTATAAAATTAATAAAAGTACTTCTACTCAGTGTTTATCCTGAAAACCCCTTCCTTGTATGATTAGCCATTACTCTTGTGAGTAATCACTTTGACATCAATGGTATTACTCACATGAGCAGGAATTTTGCAGCATTGGGTTCATTAATTAATCTTGGACATCCTTGAAACAGGTTAAGTATATTCATTTTACAGTTAAGAAAAAAAAATCTGACAGATGACTTGATTCATTAAAACCCATAATACAGATATCTATGGCTAGAAGTCATTTCTACAATAAGGTGCAATTGCAAAGTTCTGCCAGTAAAATGTCATCTAATGTAGATTTTAAAGAACATCCTTCATCTTTACAGCTGGGCTGAAAGCAAATCACAATTTTATGCTTCATATTTACATGTCATATCAAATGTTCTTGTGGGTTTTCAATGAGCAGAATCCATCCCAGAAGTTGTACCTTCAGTTTTCCATCATGTAGTAATTTCTACAAGTCCTATGAAAGTAGAACCTGACAGTGCACTCTCCTTCAACTCATGCTTCCCCCAAAAGGGTAGAGAGGAGCAAAGCTTCACAAATAATTTCTGCTGAATATAACATGAAAAAAGGGCCCAGAAGATGTACACTGTACATTCTGAGCCTTCCATCCATCAGGAACTCTGTGACTGTGACCAAACAAGCTTCCTGATTTATTCTTCCCTCAAATGCCTATATTCGCCATCCTGGTAAAGACTTTTGCAAGAACCTAGAAGACCATGTCATCACACTCATCTTTTCCATCCTAGCTATTTTTATTTTCAAACTTCAGAGCAGAGGAGTGTAATTTACAGCACTAGCTGAAAGGGCATATTGGTTTATGCTTCAGGGTTAAGGAGAATGTAAAGTGACTGCAATTTATGACTTTAATACAACAGCTTATGAAACACAACCACTAGTTTTAGATGACTGAGTTTACCATAAAACAGCCATAAACAAAAATAATGATATTCAGTAAATCATTTAATACCAGTCATATTTTGTGTGTTTCTGAAGAAAACCCTTTGAACACAGAAGGCTACCTAAAAATAATAAAGACTTGGGAAGATATTCATGGAAGAGGGATGATGTTTGTTAGAATTTTCCCATCTTTTCAAATCTTAAATTTCTTTGTAAAAAAAAAAAAAAATCCAAAACAAGCTTAGATTTGGAGAACTGCACATTGCAGTAAAAGCTGTATTTTTTTCTGTGTGTACACATACATACCTGTAGACATACAGATAAATGTACTCAGTACTTTTATTTGAATCTCATGTACATAGTGCATTTATATGAATTTGAGCAGTTATCAAAGCAAATGTTCAGTGTATTCTTTAGAACACTACACAAATGTTCTGAACATGCACTCATAGTTCTCCCATTGTGCTTTTCTTTAAAAACAACCAATACATTAAATTTAATCAAAACAATTCTAATAAAACATTGTAGTTAAGATCTGAATTGCTCAAAAGTAGGGAAATTCCAATCTAAGGATCCTGTTACATACTGCATACATCCATATGTCATACTGCATAGTTCCAATTCAGCAAGGTATTTAAAGCACATGCCTAGCTCCACGCATGATGAGTCCCATTGATCTTAATGGGAATACTCACATGTGTAGTTTGGCATATGCTTAAGTACAGTAATTCACTGAATTGGGGTGTGTGAATATGAATGCAGAAAACTTTACCACCATATATAATATCTTGTGTAGCTAACTGCATGTTCTCAATGGGACCCATACAAATTACAGTTGCTGTGGGAAACATAACTTGATATTTTAAATATACTGAAGAAAGAATATCCAAACTACAATGCTGAATTAACTTTGTTTTTGGAATTTAATATATGGGACATTCTCCTTCATTTTTCTGAAGCTCACATTTGGATTGCAAAGGCAAAACAACTGATGACAGGAGGTTGGGGGCGAAGGGGAGAATGTTAGTTTCTGGACCAAGGTTCCTTCAGCCCTTAAGACATCAGAGCCATTAAACAAGACGGTGTAAATGCCAGCTGCTGTTTGTTTGAAAGGATACAATGTTCTTCAATGACAAAACCACTCTTCTACAACAAGGTCAGATTGTTTTATGCATGTGTTGCTATGGTGAGAGAGAAAAGAGCTGATGAAAAACTGGATGACTACTTGTCTCATTGCAGAGAAAGCAACAGAAATTGAAGATTAACGTACTCTAGACCCATCATATCTTGTACCCTATGCACTTAATATGCAATACCCAAGCATACAAATTGATACTTTCAACATTCTGTAAGCCTTCAAGATGTAGAATTTAACCAATTACAAATTATTCTTTCATATCATTCAGCTACACACACCTGAATGAGTGCAGAAGGAGTTCTTGCCACCGCATTCCCTCGGAAATTTTGCCTAAAGTGCGAGGCAGCTTTAGCTAATAGCTGGAGCACCACTAGCCAAAGCTGCTGAGGAGGCGGTACTAAATCAGCACTTGCAGGAGATGACCCGTAATTCTCATAGTAATTTGAATTTCCGATACCTTTTAAAATATCTTGTTTTTCCTTCTGTCCATCTAGATATGAGGTTTTTTTTTATTGTGCTCTCTTAGCTGAGTCTAGTTGCTGTGGAGATTACAGACACTTACTACCTTTCTCCCACTGCCTGAAACTGTAGCCAGAACGGTTTCTTTAAAACTGTTTTTTATTTTCCAGCACTTCCCTGTGACAGTGTTGTCTCCCTTCAATACACATTTCCAAAAATGTGTTCTGCTGATCGTGAAGCAAGGACTGAGAAATTGCTTCCTGCCTCTATTATCTATTTCCACTTCCAACTGTCTCCTGACTCCATCCACATGCTCTTATGGCTCTTTCACTGCACTGCCTCTCTGCCCTCCCACATACAAGTGTCCTGGGTCATCCTTCTCACCTACCTCTCCAATGATCCTGATTCCGGACTATGCAGAGGTCCCCAAACCTCTTCCCGCAGATGCAGACTCCCTCCTGTCTTTTGAAAAGTCTCCCAGTTTCTCTCACATCTACTTTCATCACAAGATTGCCTCAAATTCCTCCCCAGCTGCCTCTGAAATTCAGGTTCCTCACTCCATCCTTATCCCAGTTGTAGATTCCCTCCCACAAAATCTCTTAAGCTCCCTCTCTAGTTGCCTCCCAGCTGCATTCCCTCCTCTCTCACACATCCTGGGGGAAGATCTGCAACTAGTATAAATTATCTTATCTCCATTTACACCAGCTGAGGATCTGCCATCTGATATTTGTATCATTTCTGGTCATCGGAGACAGGACTAGTGCAAAGGAACTTTTCACATTTTCATATCTGATACAACAAACACCTTACGCATGTTGGTGCTAAGTATTCTGAAGGAAGAAAAAATGCTAGACTTTCATCCCAGATAGGCAAGTGATGCAGATGGAATAGTTAAATCAAATAACCACAATTCCAGCTACATTTTAAAGTACAATCACACGTTTTATTTATGCCAGTGACAAGTACAATACTATTTGCAAAACAAACGATTGTAATTTAGTTTTATGCTAAACAAGCATGTTTAAAAAGCAGCTACTTTTTGTTATTAACAACCTGACAACTGGTACATTTTAGATGTTCACTTCTATGCAACTGCAGAGTATTAATATGGTGCCAGTTTAAAGTGAGGAGCTACTGCTGGATAATGAAAGGTAATGAAAATTTGGAATTATAGTACTGGTAAGCAAAGTAATTTGAATAAGTACTGGAGAAAAATTATTTTCATATGGAAATAATGCTCCCAACTGACAAAAAGGGTGAAAAATTGAGCTGTTCTTTGCAAATATAAAAAAGTGTAAAAGATTTAATAACTACAGATATTTCCATTCAAGGCTCTATTTGAATGTACTGTAACAAAAATAATAGTCTGTTATATATTACTGATCATCTCACTGCCTCAATTTTTTTGTCTTTGAAATTTTCATTTGTAATAAAGCAACTGTATTGTTTGACTCTTTCTGAAGTGTCAATGACTTCATATAGCCACTTAACATAGTACAGGGCTGCATAGTCTCACTTTATGCAAAACCCTTATTATAAGTATTTATTAAAAAAAAGAAAGGTGAGAAGATTCAGACATCAAGTTCAGTTGTGAGCAAAGGGAACCATACATCAAAATAGCTCGCAGGCCTTGGCTTTTAGCATATTGTAGTTTCTATCAGAACGTGTCCATAAGGCTAAATCCTGAAGGTAGGGCTCTTTTTTGGAGTCAAGGGTCATTTTGCCTGAGTTAAGGATTTCAGTATTTAACCCACAGAATTTAGAAATGGAGGAGGAGATCTATTAGGTTATCTTATCTAAGCCATGGAAGGCAAAACAGGATTGTTGCATAAAGAACATTAAGGGGCAGATCTTGTCCTGCTGAAGTCAATGAGAGTTTTGCCATTGATTTCAATGGGGCCTGGATCTCACCCTAAGTATTTTGTTCAGTCTAGTGCGAGGTCGACAACCTGAGCCGCTCAGCCCGCTGCTGGTCTGGGGTTCCGGTCGCCGGCCCCTTGCCGCCAGGGTCCCGGCCATCGGCCCAGCTCAGCCTGCTGCCAGCCTGGGATACCAGCTGCCGGCCCCGCTCACCTCGCTGCTGGTCTGGGGTTCCAGCCACCCGGCCCCTTGCCAGTTAGGGTCCGGGCCTCCAGCCCTGCTCAGCCCTCCTGCCAGCCTGGGGTACCGGCAGCCAGCCCAGGGCTCTGCTCCTGGCCTGGTCCCAGCGCTCTGCAGCCCTTATCAAAAATTACACTACAATTAGCTTAAAAACTTGAAAACTTTGTATATTACAGTAATCGTTAAAACATGTATAATGCTAATAAATACATAGGTTTGATTAAACAAAGTAGTTGTACTTATGTGCCTGTGCTTAATTTGTGTTTTCGATGATTTACCTTCTAAAAAAATCTCACATGTCTCGCACCCCCTGGGGGTGCATGCACCCCAGGTTAAGAACCACTGCACTAAACTGATAAGATCTGCATTTTAATTTAATTTTAAATGAAGCTTCTTAAACATTTTAAAAACCTTGTTTACTTTACATACAATAATTTAGTTATATAATATAGACTTATAGAGAGAGACTTTCTAAAAATGTTAAAATGTATTACTGGCACACCAAACCTTAAATTAGAGTGAATAAATGAAGATTCGGCACACCACTTCTGAAAGGTTGCCGACCCCTGGTCTAGTGTCAGGTGACAAGCAACAGGGGTTCTATCAATTTGTCTTTCCTTAAAAGTCCATTTCAAAGTCTAACAGATCTCATTACCAAAAGCTGTTAGTTGATATTCACCCTAATTTTTCCTTTCCTCAGTCTTATCCGATCAGCTCTAGTTATAACCATTGAGACTACCCTAAAACAATTCTTTCCTTACTTGCTTTTTATACTCTACAAACACTTGTACATAGTTATCATATACCTCTATTGTCTTAGAGTCATGCTATTCCTGTTTAGCTGTTTCATTCTTTCTTCATACAACAATCATTACAGTCTCAAGAATTTTTGTTAATCTTCTCTGGACTTCCTTCTAGTTTACCAGCATCTTGACCTACCTCCATATAACAGGAGTGGTCTCACCATTGGTGCAGAGAGAGGGACTATCATCTCCTTGATACAGGATACCACTGCGTATATGCAACCCAATACACAGACTGGCTGTTTTGCTGTTATATTGCATTGCTGTGCATTATCACCTTTAGATCTTTTTCTAGCATTACTGCTTTTCAAGGATCTGTCCCCCATTAAGCATACAATGGTTGGATAATTTTTTTCCAGGAGGATTAATTTTTCCAAGATGAACCTTGTTTCCTAACTTTCTATCCATACTTCTATGCTACTCAGTTTTGGGCACTTCTGTTCTCTCTAGGTCAATCTGCATTCTTTATTTGTCCTCAACGAAGACATCTCAAATTCTAGAATGCCAGATTTAAAGGATATTGCGCTCTATCACTGAAATAGTTAATGTACAGCTGTGGACCTCATTATTACATGAATACATTTATATAATTTTGCGTCTATATGGTGTCTATCTAGCAGTTTTCTAGGTGTTTCATAACACTCAGAAATAAACACCAAAATATTAAAATGTGCACAAAAGCCTTTGGAAAGGAAAAAAATCAAGACCCTTGTTCTTGAAAGGAGGAAAAGACTAATATTGTGATATTTGTGCAGGATATCAAGAGCCTCAGAGCAACAGAGGCAAAAATAAAGGCAGAAACTTTATATGCCAACATATCTTAAAGATGTGCACCTACTAATGTGAGCTGGTACACAGAACGTCAGTGTGATAGATGTGGATATGCAAAAATGTTATGAACACTGGTCAGTGAGGGGAAGTTACTGTACACTGAGGTTATAAAACTTTCCTATATGAATGCACTGATTTAGCTTAATAGGGGGCTGTGGGAAGAACAAGCAAGAAGGCAGTACACAATGGTCCCAGATAAGCAATCTTGCAGCAAACATCAGGGGCAATTATGAGACAAGGGCATACTTCAAGTCTCTAGGTTGAAATGACACAGCTGTTTTGCCAGGCTAGGAATCAAATGGGCTACAAACAGTTAAAAAGTTATTTGATTCCTGTGAAGGGGCCGTTGAGTTGCCAAGGCTCTCAAGAGAGTGTCAGTGAATTCTACAGGGAGACAAATTGACAGAGAGAGGCTCTGCGGAAGAGTCCCCAGTTAGAATATGGTTAAACACCTGGTAAGCTACATGTGTGTAGTGTGTCCTATTGTTTTTAAGATGGTCTTCTCTTCACTACTTTTGTTCTAAATAAATGATGCTTTGCTTTAAGGTGGCTTTTGGGTCACTGCTTACCACTGTCATTGTCTCAGAGGGAACAGAATTGCAGGGTGTTGACATAAGTCAGACATGTGGAGGGAAACCATGGTTGTGCAACCATCACATGATCCCACCCCAAGAGAGAGGTGATGGCTCGAGGCCTGGGACTTAGGGAGGGGGTATGCAAGAAGAAATCAGGAGGGGTCAGAGATGCAGTTGCCAGGTAACTGTGACAGTCAAAAGCTCAGTAAGATATGGTGGAATCCAGTCCAGAAGGGCTTTACATTTTCGTTTCCTTGTGGTAACTATTCCAGCTTTAATTCAGAACACTTGAGCATAGGAGCATGGGAAGCAAAAGGAGTATAACTAATCTGGCTAGCAACAGGGTGAAGTCAGAGAGAATGATGCTTGTCCAATAATGTAAGGAACCTGGACAACAAAATGGAGGAATTAGAACACCCAGTACAGGACGTGACACCAGATATTGAAAGAATAGAAACATGATGGAATAGCAATCGTGACTGTTATTCAGGTATTGAAGGGTATGTGCTGTTCAGGAGAGAAAGAAGTAAAAGTGAGGGTGGTGGAGTTGCATTGTGTATCAATAACATGGTAGACTGTAAAGAAATAAGAAGTGATTGCATGGGTAAAACAGAATTGTTTTGGATCAAAATAACTTTGGTGAAGGATTGTAGTAGTTCTATACCAGATTCTTAGGGCTTGATTTGCATATGGATAGAGATCTCTTTATTATTATTAGAGCTATAAATATTACTGGAAACTGTGTCATTACAGGAGACTAACTTCCCAGGTAAATGGGATGATCTGGGTAAATATAGGCCTGTCAGCCTGATATTGATCCTGGGTAAGATAAAGGAGCAGTTGATGCAGGACTCAGTTAATAAAAAATGGTAATTAATGCAAATCAACCTGGGTTTATGGAAAACAGATCTTGTCAAACTAGCTTGATAATCTTTTTGACGAGATTACACAATTGGTTGATAAAGGTAAGTGTTAACGTAATATACTTAGACTTCTATAACACGTTTGACTTGGCATTGCATAACATTTTGATTAAAATACAAGAATAATATAAAATTAACATGGCACACATTAAATGTATAAAAGCTGGAATATTATACAGGAGGAACTGAATGACCTGGAGGACTGGAGTTATAGAAGTAAGATGAAATTTTATAGTACAAAGTGCAAGGTCATGCACTTAGGAACGAATAAGAATTTCAGCTATGTGCTGGGGACTCATCAGTTGGAAATAGAGGAGGAGAAAGTCCTGGGTATATTAGTTGACCACAGGATGACTATGAGCCAGCAATATGATGCCAGCATGAAAGAGGCAAATGTGATCCTAGGATATATCAGGCGAGATATTTCCAGTAGAGATAGGAAAGTATTAATGTTATTGAGAAAGGCACTCGTAAGATCTCATTTGGAACACTATGTATAATTTTGGTCAACCATGTTCAAGAAAGTGAATTCAAACTGGAACAGGTGCAGAGAAGGGCTACTAGGATGATCAGGTGAATGAAAGCCCATCTTACGAGAGGAGACTAAAAGCGCTTGGCTTGTTCAGTCTAGCAAGATGAAGGCTGAGAGGGAATATGATTGCTCTCTATAAATAAATCAGGGGCGTAAACACCAGGGAGGGTATTTAATCTCAAGAACAATGTTGGCACAAGAACAAATAGTACTTGAGTAGTACATGTAGGCTGGAAATTAGAAGTTTTCTAACCATCAGAGCAGTGAAGTTCAGGTACAGACTTTCAACAGAAGTAATGGGGGAAAACAACCTAACTAAATATAAGATAAAACCTGACAAGCTTACGAATGGAATGTGGTTGCCTGTGACAGCAAGGGACTGGAGTCAGGGTATGTCTATACTGCAATTAAAAAACCTTCCCCCTCATGGGGTCCTAGAGCCCAAGCCCAAATATTTACACCACAATTAAACAGCCCTGTAGCCTAAGTCAGCTGATGTGGGCCAGCTGCGGGTGTTATACTGTAGTGTTGACATACTGTCGATGACCCAGAAGTCCCATGATCATATTCACAGAAACTATCTCAGAAGAAGATTTTAATGGTATCTGTTGAACAATAGTAAAAGAAAAGATCAAATACAGAAAAAAAATTGACTTACTAGTGTCCACTATTTGCAGATGAAACTGGAACAGCATTGGAACCATATTTAAATTTTCAAACTCTTTTTCTAAAGTACCGCTATATGCCTTTATGGATGCAAAATCCATTTCCAACTTCAACTGCTGATTCTAAAATTGCACAAAAGGTGTTTTAGCTTAAGAACACAACACAGTCACCTCGCAGTACATGAAAAAAAATGACAAAATAATTTCATTTTTATTCCCAGATTTGAGCATTTGGCCCACAGAACCTATTTGCCAAATGGAACTAATCAGATAAATTCAGCATGGTAATGAAAAAGTTATTTGACTTTGGGTTCTATTCACAAGTGTTATTCTGGTAATTTCATCATTTCTCATTTGTACAAAAGTGGAATCTGATAGGGGGAGGACAAATTATTTTTTCACTACAAAGGGGTTGAGATTTGCAAATGCAAGAACATGCATATGAATGAGAAAAACCAGACATCACACTGAGCCAGTTGATTAAAACTGAAGTACAAATTATTCGAAATTCAAGAAGTTGAGTAGTAATGAACATAGTGGTAAAAATGAGAGATAACTGGGTAAGAAGCGATAGAAAAAGAGCAGCAAAGAAAGACCTGAGAATTAAAGTGAAAGGAAAGGCCAAAAAGAGACCTGGTGTAAATGAGGAACTCCTTGCTTCAGTGGAGTTGACCTGCTGACAACAGGTCTGAATCTGGCTAAATTTAATGCTGGTCACAAACAATCAAATGCCATATTGGGCCTCAACACTCAAATTGACATGGATACACAAAGCCTTATTCTCAAGTGTCCCACTGAAATAAACAGGACTCCATGTAGGGGTAAAAGTCCATATGCCTGTCTGCAGGATCAGGCCCTTGGAATGCATTAACAGGAGTATTACCTGCAAGACAAATAGAGTGGTTATTCTGCTGTACTTGGGCCTCACCAGTTCAGTTCTGGACATTACATACCTCAAAGAATTCAGAGATGAATAACAAGAGTGATACAAAATAACAAGGGGACAGAGCCTCAGCTAGTTTAAACTGCTGTCGCTTCACTGAATTGAATGGAACTGTGCCAATTTACACCAGATCTCAAATGTTTTTAGAGTACAGAAAAACTCACCAGAAAATTCATATAAGTAGAGTAGGATTACAAAAGGAACAGAAACCTTAATGTCTGTGTGCACGCTTGGTGTTCAGACATCGGATTATTTACCTTTAGATCCTCCAACTGCTTTTTTAAACTTTCCTGTTCTTCATATGCCTTTGTCAAACTTCTTTTTAGTTCACAAAGTTCAAACTCTTTAACTGTTAAAAAATAATTTTCAATTCAGTTTGTAATATTTTCTACATACCTTGGAAAAGAAACAGAACTGAAATTACAGCTAACCCTACCTACAGCAAAGTTGCCCACTAAGGGTAAATTTCCAAGTTAGAGGTCGCTATATAGCAAAGATATATGACAGCAAAGGCGAACTACTATACAGTCACAGCATGCCAGATGACTATCAAGGTATTGAAATAAAGATAAAATATGGTTACTCATCTTTTTGTAACTTTTGTTCTTCGAGATGTGTTCCATTACGCTGTAGTGTGTGTGCGTTGCATGCACCGGTGCATGAGAGTTTTACCTAGCTGTATGCATAGGGGCGGCCCCACCCACTCTGTTCCTTGTGCACAAAGTGAGGGTATAAAGGGGCAAAGTTGCTCCTCCCCTACTTCAGTTCCTTTGCACCAGAACCAATGGTAGACTCTGATGCATCAGGGAAGGAGGGTGAGTTGTGTAATTGACGTATGCAACACATCTCAAAGAACAGTTACAAGGAGGCAACTGTTTGTTCTTCTTTGAGTGCCTGCATGTATCCACACTGTAGGTCACTGCCAAGCTGTTACCCTAGGGGGTGGGGCTCGGAGTCTCAGCGTAACAGGGACTGTAGGACTGCCCTCCCTATATCTGCATCCTCCTGGGATACAGCAGACATTGCATAATGCCTGGTGAATGTCTGAGTGTAACACTGTATCACTGCTCTACAGTGATCCATAATTGGGATGTTAGCCACAAATGCTGCTGAGGTCAAACATGCTCGGTCGAATGCATCGTAAGTTTGTCAGGAGGCATTACTCCTTTGACAGCATAACACTTTGTAATGCAGTTGGTGATCCATTATGAGAGACTCTCAGTTGTAACCAGATGACCTCTCAGACGTTCTGCATAAGAAATGCGGAGCAGGGCAGACGCCCAAAAGGGTTTTGTCCTATCCAGGAAAACAGCCAATGCTCTGTGGAAACTCTACTTGTCCTTATGCAGAGGATTATGGGTGGTGATAGAAAGGAACTGGAGGGTATATCTCAATTCCACCATGCTTAGCAGCCTCTTGTCTGAGGTGATGGCCTGCCAGGCATGTAGGAAAAAGGACAACCTGCCCCAGAAAGATGGGGACAGACCAATGAGATCCAGGTCAAATAGCATGCCGTCTGAGACATAAGAGTAAAAATGACTAATTTGGGGCCTGCGGCTGCCAAGCTGAAGAGTGCAAGGAAGTAGAAGGCATCATTTATCTTCTCTGTGATCTTGGTCAGCCTAACAATAAAGGACAGTATTACTGTTTGGGTTGGTATTGAAGACGATATCTTGTCTCCTCTGTCATCACCATATAGAGGCCCAAGGATTTCAACACTATTTGAGTCCACTAGTGTATGCAAAGCCTTATCTGTTTTAGATGAGAACAGAGCACATCCCTTGAAAGGAAAGTCATCAATTGTTTGTTGCATCTCCCCAGGAATCCTGGAGGACTGCAGCCAGGAGGATCTGTGCACAGTCACCACTGTTGCCATGGCCCTAGCTGTAAAATCTGATGCATTTAAAGAAGCCGTAGAACTGATCGAGAAATGAGGCGTCCCTCTGCAATGAGTGACTGGAGTCTTTCGGTAGTCTGCCAGCAACCTGAGATATTGCCTCCCATTTTGAAAAATTACACTGTGACAACACAGTGTCATGGCTGGTAATGTGAAATTATAAACTTGCTGTAGAATACATTTTTCTACCAAGCTTTTTGGCATCTTTGTCCTTGAGGGTAGCCTCATCTCTGCCCTGATGGCTCCTCTCACTCACCACAGCCACAACAAGTGAATCTGGTGTGGGATGTAAACAGAACTGTTCGAACCCCTGGAATGGAACCTGATATTTATGTTCTGTTCTTTTGACTACAACTGGAATGGAGGCAGGGATTTACCAGATGGTTTTGGACGGCTGCATAATGGCCTAACTTATGGGCAGTGCAACCTCCCTGGTGCGGTGGCATGGAGAATATCAAACAGTCTGAATGCCCAGGGAGGCTGCCATCTTCTTGAGGAGCTCCTGATGTACCTTAAAGTCATCCAGTACCTGGGAGGATCTTTCTGGTACCAGGACCTCATCAGGTGATGAGCAGGATGCCTGCATGACAGGCAAGGGTGAAAGCTTCCAAGGTTGCTCTTGTGGCCCAAAATGGGTTATACTGTTCTGGAATGGGCTGAAAGAAGTCTTGAGCTTCTTTCTTCTTTCTTTCTTTCTTGAGGTCCAAAGGCTCACTGATATGAACCGTGACTGGTCTCCCAGTACTGGCAGGAGAAGGCCCCCACCTGGAAGACCTACTTGTATTGGGAAGTGGTGAAGTAGATCTGGAACCTGGAGGCAGCCCCCTGGGCATCCAGTAGAGGCATTGAGGGCACTGTATAGGACTGGGCCCTAGGCACATCTGTCCCAAGCATCCCAATCCTGGCTAAGGTCCTCTCAGAACCCTGTCAGTAAGTGCAGGAATGGGAATGTGAGGAAGCTCTAGACTCTCAGTACCAGGATACCTGAGAGTCTACCTTGGAGTCTGATGAGGAATCAGAGTATTCCAGGAACCAGGAGGGGTCCATGGTGACCAAGGTCTGGATCCATGTCAAGGACGCAATACTGGAGGAAGAATGGATGGCTTCCTAGCCACCAGTAAAGTGTGGCATGGAGGAGCTGGTACCAGCCCAGAAGATGTAAAGAGTTGGTACCAGGCCCAAAGGTGATGGAGCCTGACTAGAGTGTTCCAGTGCCAATGGGGAACTGCATCTAGCCCAGATGAGGGTCCTCAGCCTGAAGCAAAGGTGAAGGTGGTACTGACAGCCACAGCATAGCCTCTGGCATAGTTGGAACAGATGTAGGCTGCTGACCTGCAGGAATCAGGGATAACCACTCTGTTGCAGCCAACGAGGTAGCAGTCTCAACAGTCACTGGGAGGGGACTGAATTGACAGCTCAGCTCTGTTTGTAAGAGCTAATACTAGGAAGCAGCGAGGCAAAGGTACAGGACTGACCTTCTGTAGAGGAGTTCCACACTCCAGACTTTGAAGAACTGGATACCGATTTCTTCTGAGGCTGTTCTGAGGTAATGGGCCTTGAATAATATTGTCCTAGTGATGGGGATCACCTCTGGCTCCAGTTTGATGACATTTAATATAAAAAAAAGACCTCTCTCTGCAACTTACTTTACAGAATATACAACTTACATTTCAGAAGTCTGAAGATAAACTCCTGCAAAAAACAAAAATCTGATGACGCAAAGTTCTTCTGGGAGGTCAGGTCCCCAAACTGAAACAGATCTGTAGAGTCAATTTCTTCTTCTGACTCATCTTTTTCCTCCTTTTCTTCTTGCAGTTTCTGATGTTTAGAGAACTCAGCAGTTTCTTTTTCAAACTCTCCTGGACAAAAAAATAAAATAAATAAAACAAACAAACATGTTTCAAAAATTAACTAATTCTTCTTAAATCAAAGATGTTGCAACACATTCCACATTTTTGGAATAACAAAGATTTGCCTGACTGTAGTTGAAGTTTTTATATGAAGTAAAACTTTTAGATGGTACAGTGGTGAGCACTAAACAGTCACCACATACCAACGGTTACCATGCGACAGCATTCGACATTTCCTTACACACAGAACAGGGAAAAATAGTGAACGATCCTAAATACAATGTTCTGGTAGCTGTTGATATTCTATTGGTGATGTATTCCCCTTGCTCCCTTTATTGGTGATTATACTTTTTTTTTTTTTTTTAAACACAGAAATAACCTGATATTATATAACATTTATTAGACTAGCAAAACTTTGATGTGTAAAAGGGACCTTATGAAGTCAAATTGAGCCAGTAATTTACATTTTGTTAAATCATGGAAAAAAGAGAAGATTCCAACATAAAGCTTCTGCAGAATAGCTGGCTTTTCAGCACATGTTATCATCAGACAACCCACCTAAACTATCTAATAGACTGGATTTCAGACCCCATACTCAAGAGCATGGCTGTACATGCTGCAGTCAGGTCTCTCCATGGTACCTCTGAAATCAGTGAGCTTTATAGGCACTGAAGTTCAAAACACTTTCAGAGGTCATCTTCTAGTATAAACTCGCAAGTATCAGTTAAATATATTTATCAATTGGCAGTAGAAATTTTTTTGTATAATAATTATAATTGGTCTGTTTTGGAAATACTGCTATACATGTATTTTAATAGTAAAAGAATACAATATTGTTGATTTTGTACAAATATACGTATCTGGACTTAGAACAGACTATCAGGGTTGGAAGGGACCTCAGGAGGTCATCTAGTCCAACCCCCTGCTCAAAGCAGGACCAATCTCCAGGCAGATTATTGCCCCAGATCCCTAAATGGTCCCCTCAAGGATTGAACTCACAACCCTGGGTTTAGCAGGCCAATGCTCAAACCACTGAGCTATCCCTCCCAACCACCAATATGTACATATGTCACTACTTATTTTTCCTTAGAGGGTTTTGTGATTTGTTTTTTTTTTTTTTTTTTAATTACTGTAGAACCAATAGCATTATTATCAGAGTTAAGGTTTTGTTGCGATGCCATATGCATTTCCTTTTCTCAATAAGAATAACGCATCATCATCATCATCATCAATAACGCCTTAAGATTTACAATGTGAAGCAAACAAACAAATAAAAGCAAATACATTAATAAGGAAATGCCTGGGTTTTGAAAGTGATATGATAGGCAAGTGTCCTGTTCACACTTAGCACCCTTATCCTTTTAAAATCAAAGTGGTTTTGGTTTTTTGGAACTGCCTACTCTCTTTTTTTTTTAATCTTTTATTTTATTTTCCCAATTTTTTAAAGGTGGAAAGACTAGGTCATATCAAACAGAAGGAGTGGACAGTACTTGCCAAGCTATCAATGGTAGGAAACCAAAATCCCAGTTCTCCGACTAGTACTGAAATCGTAAGAAAATTGTGTCAGAGAAAATGAAACAGATCACTTGGTACGTTTGAAAAGGTGGTGAAAATCCTGGATGAGTAAAGCACGCTCCATCACAAGCAAAAAATCAGGGTCTCCGTGCTTCTGCCACTGAAATAACTCATCTATGACAAGGGCCATCACAGAATGGAATTTTGTGCCTAGTTTTAGAAATAGCAATTTCTTGAACATTTTATTATTCCTTTCCTTGAAAGCTGCCTGATGCATAAGCTGAAGTTCCTATGAATTAGAATTTTGTGATGTCACTGGGCTGCTAGAGGGAAAACAGATGATACAAAATATTAACTCACAAAATTATTAAGAAAAATGAGTCACTAGGTTTTTAATTTCTAAATACACTTAATTATTAAAAAAAATAAAACAAATTACAGTCAATGAAAAATGTGAAAGCATGATTTTTCTTTTTCAGTTACAAAGTATATATTTGAGAAAAATCAGTCTTATAATGGGACACCGATTATATTAACTATGAAAACGCTATGTGCTCTAAGAGCCAGCTATTTAATACACTAGATTTGTGAACCATCTTATATTAGTACCATTACCAGTTGATAGTCTGTTTGAATTGCAAGCTAGCTTGATTAGCATACAATTGAAAATCATTTTAACACTACCTGTTAAATTCTGTAAGTGTTGCTTTCCCATAAGGTGTTCTTTCTTGTTATGAAAAGAACTGAAAAACTGGTTACACGTCCGACAATACAGGTCATTGCTTTCATCTCTCTGTTTTGATGAAAGAGGCAGAATAGGGAGAATTAGAAGGATCTGTCAATATCTGCTAAATAATGAGTAATTAAGAAACATTACCTACTACAAGCAAAAAAATCAAAACAAAAAAACCCCGAAACTGCCTTTGCTCCTAATACAAACCAAATCCCATCAAGGCATGGGTCACAAAGAGATTTCATAAGACAATGAGAATTATGTAGGTTTTTGTTGGTTTTTTTTTTTGGTTTTGGGGGCAAATCCTGACTCCATGGACACAGGCAAAACTCTCCATGGGGACAGTGATACTGGTTTAACTGGACTTCACCATGGGAGCTCCTTTGCCCTGTCACTCTGGGGATATTCGAGGCTGCAGTGGGTGAAAGTGGAGGATGGAGAATCCACTGCTATTCAAGTCTTTTGGTCCATCTTCTATGGACTTCCACCCCCAAAGCAGCTTTGTTGCCTGGGGTGCAGGATTCCATCCACTTTTTCTCACGGGAGATCATCAGTACTGAGATAAGTTACTTGGGCTGTGCAGAGGATTTGGGCTTCAGTGGTTTTATTTCTTCCTTTAAGGAAGTGCTGAAATGTGCAATAATGTCAAAGGAGAGCACTATTATTGTCTTCTGGTTTACTGGTCAAGGCCCTAAGCTGATAACAAATAAATGTGCTGTAATGAGGGTTAGAAGTCACTAAAACAGAAGGTGGGTCACTATAAAACACATAAACCAGGTGTAAAGTGCCACCATGGGAAAAAGATGCTTACAGTTATCCAGATATATGGTGCAGTATTAGTGCTGAGGCATGTACAGTGAATGAAATAAGAAAAATTAGGCTGCCACAATAGAGAAATGCAGCCAAGAGAGCTTGCTTTAAGTGTGACAGAATAACATGCACAGTAAAACAACTGAATAAGATAGTCCATGTAAAGAGTCACTTTGATCCTGTGGAGAGAGATTGGCACTATGAGTATGGAGAAATGGTTTCTACTCCCAGCTCTTCAGCTAGCTTGGTAGCCTGCCTCAGGTCACACACTTAAACATCCTCCGGCCCTGTTTCTTTATTGGCAAATATGTAGAGTAAAACAACTTACCCACCTCTGTAAAGTGACTTATAAGCCATTATTAGCAGTACATTTGAAAAATAATTGAGTATATTCAATAGAGCAATTACTTTCCATAAATTTTTGTCACAGCTTTATGTTCAAGTGAATGCAGATTTCAAGTTGCCACAATTCCAAGTAAAAGAATTTGCTTTTTTTAAAATCAGACAAGGGATTACATGCTACACTGATTCATGCACTGAGCATCGTCCATCCTGTGCACTGAATGAGGAAGACTCCTAATGGGAAAAGTAATATGTGATCATTTAGTTAAAGATTTATCATAGGGCTTCTGTTTTTCAGGGTTTAATAATTTTATTTTGGGGAGTTTATTTTTAGCAATTTTTGAGTTTTATGAAGATGTCCAAAAACTGCGTTTTTTTGGGGCTCTCTCTTTGTTTATACTGTATTGAATAATGTAAATTATATACGTTACATACTACACTAGAATATACTAGTATGAGTAATCCCTTTGTAAACGTTCCATAACGCCCTTTAATGTAGCACTATTTCAAACAGCACTACATTAAAGTGCACTAAGGAACATTTAGGCTATGTCTAGACTGCACATCACTTGCGGCAGCATGTTGTGAATGTGTTGCTACCTGCTGTACTGAAACGCAGGCTGCATCCACACTGTGGCATGTAGCTACAGATCAGTGAAAGGCTCTGGTGGGGGAAAGGCTCCAGCAGTGGGGGACACACTGCTAAAATAGCAGTGATGACGACGGAGGCAATGCTTGGGTAAGAGAGTGCCGTGTAGGGAACATAGCCACAGGGTTCAGGCATGCCTTCCCTTGCTTATGTAGTGCCTCACCATCTATACAGCTATTTATACCTGTGCCAGGGGAGCATGTAGTGGATGTACTCCACACACTGCCAAAAGAAGTGTGCAGTGTAGATGTACCTTCAGTGTGCACCAACAGGGTCTACACAGGACAATTAATGCACAACACATTAGTGCACTTTAGAAATTGCATCCATGTAATAAACAATTACTGGTCCACATAGACAAGTCATTACAGTAAAACCTCAGAGTTATGAACACCTTGGGAATGGAGGTTGTTCATAACTCTGAACAAAACATTATGGTCGTTCTTTCAAAAATTTACAACTGAACATTGACTTAATACAGCTTTGAAACTTTACTATGCATAAGAAAAATGCTGCTTTCCCTTTATTTTTTTAGTAGTTTATGTTTAACACAGTATTGTATTTGCTTTTTTTTTTTTGGTCTCTGCTGCCTGACTGTGTACTTCTGGTTCCCAATGAGGTGTCTGGTTGACTAGTCAGTTTGCAACTCTTGTGTTCATAACTCTGAGGTTCTACTGTAGACAAAAATAGCCATTTCTGCTGTTCATTGGATAAACACCAATTTAATTTTATTTTTTTATATTGGAAGTGTTAAAATCAAAATTCAGAAGTCCTAATCATAAGGCATGCACACAAGGAGGTAAAAATAGGGTTGCAAAGACAATCTTAATTCTGGCCTTTCCTAAATTTTGAGTACTTGACTTTGTGACGTTAACATTCTTTTAGAATAGTTTTTGTGTGAGTACAACACTGTATGTCATTATTAAAATAAGCTAGCTGACATTAACTAGTTAAAACCTATCAACTTCCTCCCTCCCACCCTCACCTCAAATACAGTTTCAATGTACTTACATCTATTGTTGACAAAGCAAGAGCTTCATTCTCAGATCTACTTCCTATAGATATTGTTCCTGAAGGAAAAACCAAGTTCTGTTATTTTAACTGTAATACAGAGAACAAGTTAAGCAACTTTGGGGAAAAAAAACACAAAAAACTTTCAACTAATAACTGGTCTAGTGGTCCCCAGGTTTTGCCACAATATATTAGTGGGAATCTTAAGGGGACCATCCGTTATATTTTATAATGTGATAAAAAATTCTGAATTTTTTTTCCAAAGGAAAAATACTTGTTTCCTTCAATGGGGTTAGATTTTTAAGCACATTAAAATGAAAAAGCACACCAAACTAGCATAAGATCTACACAAAAGTGTTTTTTTTAAAAGACACTTCTCTGAATCTTCATAAATAGCTACTTGCCCTCTCTATCATTTTCTTCCTCCAGAGGCTTTGAAAGGAAGTGTCCAAGATTCTCTCTCAACTCCCTAGCAAAATCTTAAACATAGCATGACATTCCTTTAACAAAGTTTTTTTTTTTTTTTTTTTTAATTGCTCAGGTCACATCACTGCCAAAATAGTGTACTGAACCGCTCCCAGCAGAAAGAAGCGTGCTGTGTTAACTGCAAAGATAGCTACCAAAATTACTGTACAATGCAATACAAGCAATAATGAAAATAAAGTGCCAGTCTCTTTCAAGAGCTCTTTGCACGGGCAATAGAAACTTAAAGTACGGTAATTCTATTTAGCAATGGGTATTTACTGCTATAATACCCACAATTCTAATCTGAATGACAGAATACAGTGTCAAGGAGTTGTAAACTTGAATTACAGGATCTGCTGTAAGCACTGCAATGCATAATTGAAAAAGAATAGGCACAAGCTGGGCAATTTAGGGTGTAAAAAAAGACCATCGCTGACAATTCAGCCTCTTTCCCCTCTCTTGTAAGAAGAGGCGCACTGTTTTAGCAATCCAATATTTATTTCCTTTCTTCACTTTATTCCATGGAGTGTCAGTTTCTAAAAGTACATTCAGCCTTAAAGGGCAAGCAAGGAGGCAGACAGTAAGCCTAAAGATGATGACAAATAATAATAATTGAAAGGCAAATCAGATAAAATGTAGACACTAAAGCACCTTTTTATTAATCTACAATATCACACATACTTGCGTGAACCATCACTGCCAAATATTTCTTCAACTGAGACCTTCAACACATCCACAATATAGCTCTGCTTTTCTTCAATTTTAAGGCTTAATTATGATACTATAATTAATAGTTTGACAAAATTAAACTCTAGTAACAGTGAGATGTTTTCAAAACCGGGGTCTCCCAGAATTCTTTTCCTAGCAATTTTAGTTAGGGTATGAATGGGATATTCCTTCATTTCTTTAAAATAACTGACATGGTTGTTCTCTAACTTACCACACAGGGTCTTCACTTTGTGAACTGCTCTTCTCTCTAAGAAAGCTTGATAGGCTTCAGAGTCTTGATAGGCTTTCAATTCTTTCATATATCTTTGCTTATCCTTTTCTGCTTCTTTAATATATTTCTGCAAGAGATACAATACTTGCTATAATATACCTTTTCTAGTTCGCTGCCTCTTTTAATGCTATAAGATGATAATGAAAAGGCTTACTTGCTTTCCTGCTTGAGAAAGTTGAGACCATTGAGCAGCCAGCATCTTGGTTATTTCAGTAAAAGGCAAATCTGGATGTCTGGCCTTCGTTTTAATTCTCCGCTCATTCAAGAATATTACATACCTAATACCAACAGTGGGCAAAATATCAGCAATTAACAATACATAAACTAGTAAGATTCATTTGTGCTTACATATATATTGAAATATATATGTGAAATATTGCCTGGTAGTTAATCCTTTATAAAGTTAGGGAACTGCTAGTTATACATCTCCCACATGGCTAAGTGAACCTTCCCTCAAATCATTTTAAAGAAAAATCCCCATGTGGGTACACAAATCTGCATTAACCTATAGATTGCAAGGACACGTGACTGCTCAACCTACAATACATTCCCTTTACCATTTCACTGTATCCCTGCACTTTTTTATTGGTGGGATTAATAAAAGGTGTCCATCAAAACGCAGTTTGAGGATTTCTAACATTTCCAAGCTATAAATATTTAATTGACTTCAGAGGCCATTCCCAAAGCCTTTAGCATTCTTTAAATCTCTACAATTCAGAGCCCCAAGTTGCTTTAATATACTGCATACAAGAGAGCATATTAAGAGAACAGTAAATTATCTGAATAACATAATGCTACTATAACACACTTACCCTGTTGTAGGGGCACGAGGAGCTGAAAATTCCTTTGGAGGTTTCCTTTTCTTCCCTTTAGGCCAGCCACCTTTTCTTTTCTGGGGAGGGAGGGGAGGTAAAATACTTGGGTCTACACTGCCTTTCATTTGCAAGTCTCAAAGCAAAGTCTCACTACGTGAACAGATAGGACTCCCATTTAGTGAACTATTATATATGCAGAGCAGTTACATGGGAACCTTCACTATACCGTCTTCACATTACTACTATTTAAAATTGTATGAAGTACAATTATGGTTAATTAGAATGCTACATATGCCCCCATATGAGGTCTCTTATGCTTAAAGTACAGCTTGATTCCCTTCCATTAGTAGTCACTTAAGAACATATACTAGTGGCTGTTACTAAATTATATGAAGTTTGTCCAGTCCTGTATTGTTACTCTGAACATGTACCTTTGGCTCACTGGAAGCTTGTTTCTTTATGTCCAGATGTCCTGTTAATACAATGTGTTGCAATGCGTGAGATGGGAGATTACGAGGATACACATGAAGTATCTGACTTCCTGAAGGTATTCCTCTGACTCCACCTGGAGGAAAAAAGGGCTGTGGTGTCATTAAAGTAAAAAAAAAACCAAAAATAACAGCCTTCAGATATTGATATTTGGAAAAACATTCTACTGACTCCTGTACTTTAATTAGGCTATCCACAGCTCAATCATGGGTTTGAGAAATGTGTGGGTTGTTTTTATTTTTAAGGGTGCCTCTGGCAAGCATGGACTAAAAATGCCCTAACTTTCTGACTGATCTTCTATAATGGTCTATTAAATCCTGTTCCCATAGGATGTAGGTGCAATGCTGCAATCACTGTAAAGAGGGTAGAACAATGCTGGCAGTCACATGGTATTTCACCAAGATATAACCTTTTATGTAAGATGAATTTCACTGTTAATCATGTTCTATGCTGTTATAATCTATTCTTAAATGTTTGCACTATAAATGGAAATAAAAAACATGAACATGACACTGAACAGTGCTTAATATGATGCTTTTTCCAAATATTAGGGCTGTCAAGCGATAAAAAAAATTAATCGCAATTAATTGCACGATTAAAAAAATTAATCGCAATTAATTGCATTGTTAAACAATAAAATACCATCTATTTAAATATTTTGGATGTTTTCTACATTTTCAAATATATTGATTTCAATTACAACACAGAATACAAAGTGTACAGTGCTCACTTTATATTTATTTTTGATTACAAATATCTGCACTGAAAAAAACAAAAGAAACAGTATTTTTCAATTCACCTAACACAAGTACTGTCGTGCAATCTCTTTATCACGAAAGTTGAACTTACAAATGTAGAATTATGTACAAATCCACTATCACTGACCAAGGGTACTAATAGGATACTTGTCTGACCTCTGACCAATTCCATCACTCTCCTCGCCACCTGGAGTGGAGGTGACCCAACCCAAGGGCTCCTTCTGGGGAAAGAGAAGTTCTCTTGCTGAAGAGTGGAAGCCAAAATAGCAAGTGGGTTGAATGTTGGAGAGGAGACCACAGTAGTCTATTATTCACCTCCCAGCTCCCCTTAATCCCCCAAAAGAACTGCTCCTGGTGAGGGACAGTGGGCCTGAAGCCTTCCCTCCCTCATTTCAACGTGGACTAAGTTTCCAGTGGTAGATCCAGTAGGGAATAGGGAAGGGCAACTTTTTTTGGGGGGTGCTCTCTCCTCTCCTATTTTTATGGGCAGCTTGATTCTTCCCTCCACCCCCTGCAGCTTTAAATAAGACTGATTCTACCAGACTCCCCCCACTACTCGTAAGACAAGGTGAGTCCTACAGGAGGCAACTCCCCAAACTTCCCCAAAATGACACACACCTTGATTGACTGTCAGGGCAACAGCAAGTTTTAAAAAAAATCCTTTTAATAAAATAGCTCCTTTCATTGTGCAAATTGGCTTAAATCTTCAGTCAATACACCACAAAACTGAACTATTTCTATTCTTGGGCACTATTTTACTGCTATGGCCTTTGGAGATGATCCATATTTGTATTATACACTGATTGTAAGTAAACTCAACTATCTAGCAATGTTATACTGTATTTCTAGAACATCTCCATGTTAGATGTAACTAACTAAAAATCCTGTGTTTATCACATACTTTCAAAATATGCATTCCCTTCATTTTTACTATGATCTATGCAACATGGGCATTACAGCACATAATCAAGACTCCAAAACATCTTATTTTAGACAATGACTCTAAGAAGCTCAGCTATTCAATTTATTGATGCAGACAAGGTCTCTTTTCAGTCTCCTCTGGGCATCAGATGCAGTTTCAAAAGCCATAAAGTTTATAAAATGCATCACTGAAAGGCTGTTCATCAACAGTAAACCTAAACCACACTGCAGTGTTAGTACTGCAGATAAAATATTGTAATCGTGAAAGTGAGTTGCCTTATACAAAGTCAGAAGCAATAGACAAAGATAAACTAAATTGTACTTTTATTGTCAATTGTATCACAAGCATTTAAGACAGACAAGTAGTGTAAACAATGTATCAAAAATCACACAGTACCTTCTGTTTGTTGTTCCAACTCCATAGCTAGTTTTATCTATCCTATATATGACAATGCATCTCTATTGGCATTTGCAGCAATACACAGAATTCTGTGGGGGAAAAGATATTTCTTATGCATTATAGCTTTAATACACAATTACTGTTACTGTACAAAAGCTGCCTGTTAGTGTTGAATTTTATAAAAATGCTCGCACTCCCCTTGAAGTCAGCAGAAACAAAACGAAGACAAAGCAGAGTGCTTTTAAAAATCCCACACATCAATTATTAGCCTGCTTGGACACTAAGAACTCACCTACATTATAAATCTTTTTTGTACTGGTGTATTTGGATGTAGCTGTTCAGTGGTTTGAGCATTGGCCTGCTAAACCCAGGGTTGTGAGTTCAATCCTTGAGGGGGCCACTTAGGGATCTGGGGCAAAATCAGTACTTGGTCCTGCTAGTGAAGGCAGGGGGCTGGACTTGATGACCTTTTGAGGTACCTTCCAGCTCTATGAGATAGGTATATCTCCATATATTATTTTTATTATTAGTGTAGACAAGCTCTGACCACAGAAATATATATCAATACAGCATATATTCAGAGATAGATACAGAAGACAAGGGGCACAAGCCAAATTCTCCTCTCATTTAATCCCGTGCAACTCCCACTGGCTTCAACAGAGTTTTTATGGGTGCAACAGAAGAGAATTTGACCCCAAACCCTTCATTCCAAGCCTGATCTTGCCACGTGTTAAACATGCACATCTCCCACTGATGTCAGTACTTCCTAGATCAAGACCTCAGTGATGTTTTTTGAACTGCAATCTTTAGCAGCTACTGAATGCTAGTAGCAAAAAATAAAAAGAGTGCTTGATGTGACAAGAAAGAAGACCTGATGGTAAAAATGTTGATTTCAGCCATCAGAACAAGCACATCTGACTGTTTAAACATCTTCAGCAGCAGTACCTAAGACGGTCATTAAACATTGGGATTAGTTAGATTTTTTTCAGGACATTAATTTTGTCTCTTTCTTTCTTGGCATCCAGAATTTTTATTTTATTTTTAAAAGGAGGGTGATTTTTCAAATTGCCCATATAAAGAAGAGCTCTATGCCTGAAATACCCCCGTCTTAGGACAAAGGTAGAGGTCCAGCCAACATAACAGTCCCTAAAAAGAGGGAATGGGGGAAAAACTGGTGTTTACTTTCTCCTGTTTTTGAGACCCAGTTCAGCAGCCTTTCTCTAGCAGAACTCTAAACAGCTGAGTGGTGCATTATGTATTAAAACAAGCTCGAGTGAGCCACAGATACAAGTCCTTGGGGATTTTCTTCTTAAGCAGCATAGTAGTCTCTATTTTTACCTCTGTAATCCTTGATCTCTTTTTATTACAGCTAATCATCTAAACATACAGATCTATGTTCAAGACAGCCATGTATGTGGCATTAGAAATCAATCGTCATAGAATGCTTAAAAGCTGTATCTTTGACGCAGATATTGCTCCGCCTAAGCAGTGGATTAATATAACTCTTCACTGGTTTCCCCTTCAGTTTACCGTGTATCATTTCCAAATGCTTTATTCCACTACTGGGCAGCCTGGCCACTAATTTTTTATATAGGTTAACATCACTATCAACTTTATGTGATTCAACAATGTACGAAGACGTGGTTTGTCAGACTTTGCTTAACTCAGCTGTTCTATGTATATAGCACATGAGAATTTTTAGGCACTGTATTTGCAAAGCACTCTTCTTCAATTAAAAAATGTGATTCCCCAGATATTGCTATCAGAAGTTCACATATCACGGATAACCAGGTTGCTTCAGAACAACTCCCTCCAGGCACTGACCTCAAACAAAAACAATGTGTACTCTAAATTGAGCAAAAGTCAGGGTAGAAAAGGCTGGTGACAACACAACTAAGCAGGACCTGAGGAAGGACCCAAATGTGAATGTGGAAAGCCTAGCCAAATCTTTGAACGGTGCCTGATGCAGTGCCCCCTGTCAACATCCTGTACTCCTGAAGAACTATACGAGCTCAGTGATAACACCAAGTCGTGGCCATGTTTTTGGAGCAACAAGGTGTAATGATGATGGGAAATTATATACATATATATTTATAAACACAGGGAAGGTAGAATTGTATAGCTTTGTTAATATTGACTTCAACCTACAATGATTAAAGCTACATTTGGGAAACATTTTAGTTCTTAACTGTATTTAGATTGCTTTGATCATTTAGTACTTTGTAAATGTTCTTTATTTGAAATGAATACTCAGTAACATGCTATTTTTAATACAGCACACATATACTGACCTATGGCACATTAAGTCAGTGGACTGAGTGAAAAGGAAGTGCATATTTATAGCTGTACATCCTAGATAGAGAGTATAATTTCACCCATAAAATAGTATTTTTACTATTAAAACAAAGATTTGGTTCCAACAAATTATGCATTCACTCCACCCACACAAAGCACAAGCATTTAGGTTCCAAGTGAAATGTGAGGTAGAAACACAGCCTCCAACGCAAGAGTGCAGAGCTCTCACAGTTACTACTCCATTCTACGAGCTGCTGCCCCTCTGCACCAGTTGCATGGGGTGCTTGGTGCAGCTGTGCCCTAAGGTGACCTCCCACACCTGCCTAGGCAGAATTGGTACAGAGAATCTTCTCTTGCAGCCCATATTTGCACCCCATGTGCAAATATGCAGCTGGTCATTTGCCTGGGCAATCCCTATTCTATCCCTGGGTCAGCCAGCCCCAGCGGGGCTGTCACTCTGTGTTATTACTTTGTAATTAATAATTCTCTGACTATATTTTAAAAAAGTGAATACATAAAAATATACTGCAGGTTTCAGGACCCTCTAGCAACTACTAGTTGAGCTACTGTGAACCTCCCAGGCTGAAATAAAGGTCTTGCAATCAGCCTTCACCAAAAAAAAAAAAAAAAAATAAATAAAAAAAAAGTCATTCACATATGTGAATTACTCAAATGACCAACTCTTAAAGTGGATAATTATATTCTGCCTCCCTTAAGTTTCCCCTCGGAATAGCTTGTTCTTCATTTCCTGTCCTGAAGTTATGATATTCATTGTCAAGCTGTGAGAAGTTTTAAATATGGCAATATATTATATACATAATTGTTGCAGTGTTGCTGTGCACTATTAAACAGGTGGCTGAATTTCAGTGGTGGCTGAAAACTATACAGTATAAAACTAAAGTCTGTTTTTGAACCTGTGCATCTGACTTACAATTAACAACAACAAAAAAATCAGTGAGCGCCTTCTAAATTCACACGTTGAGGATTTGGTCCATTTTTTATAAATCAGTTTGGAAACATCTTTGGGATCCTTCTTCATGAAGGACAGTATGTAAGTTTAAGTTGTAATTTTTCAGAGCTGAACTTTTAAGAACTTCTTACAACTTGACTTTCACTAGAGAGTGAGGGATGGTAGATTTTAAAAAATGTTTTCGTGATAGATCAGTTTTCAATTGTAGCAGTTCATTTAGAGTCAGGACAACTCATAATGAAGACATTGCTATGCTGCGAGTGAGCTCCAGACTTAAGTGCAGGTTCTTTAAGATCAGAGCATCAGTATTTTTAAAAAAATCACAAGAGAAGAATTAAAGAGTTTATTTCCTTACTACTGCAATACCTTTTCTTTAGGAATATGGATATAAGGAAATCAAAGTGCCTTTGTAATTCCAAACCATTTAGTTCTGAAGATAGTAAAAGACTTTTTAATTATTTTATTTCAAAAGTTGCTCTTTATAGTCCCCCCAGCCCTGCTGCCATTGAACTAAATGGCAAAATTCCCATTGGCTTCAATGGAAGCAAGGCAGGGCCTAACATTTTCTTGTATAGGTCTTATATAGCAGTGGTTCTCAAGCAGGGTACATCAACTCATTTAGATATTTGCCTAGTTTTACAACAGGCTACATAAAAAGCATTACTCAAGTCAGTACAAACTAAAATTTTGTAAAATGACTTGTTTATACTGCTCTATATACTATACACTGAAATGTAAGTACAATATTTATATTCCAATTGATTTATTTTATAATTATATGGTAAAAATGAGAAAGGAAGCAATTTTTCAGTAATAGTGTGCTGAGACACTTCTGAATTTTTAGGTCTGATCTTGTAAGCAAGTAGTTTTTAAGTGAGGTGTTAGTAGTCTCGAAAGGTTGAGAACCCCTGTTATATAGCACCCTTCATATACAAGGTGTTCTCTGTCATATGCTTCACTAAGTATTGAAAAATTAGTTAAAATCTGGTAGCACAGTGCCTGTGGAGGCAGCAACAATATATCAACCACTGATCTTGACAAAGCAGTATTAGTCCTATGCATTTTTGTGACTGAGTGCAGGAAGTGAACACCTAAGTCTGTTTTACTTTATTTTACTGAGCAACAGACTGCTGGCCAGGCTACTAGTTTTATATGAAGCAGCATGAGATGTGTAACCTTTACTAAGACAAATATCAAAGAGGAGCAAAAAGGACCTGATTTTAATATGGTAGCCATGTGCAGCATTGAAACTCGACATCTTATTTGAGTCAGAACAATAGCTGTATTGCACTATAATGCAAGTGCTGCAATGGAAGTACTAGTTATGAGCCCAAGTTCTGATACAGAACATGATTATTACCCTATAGGTTCTTCCCCCTGGATCACAGCAGCACCCTCTCTCTTTGATGACATGAGCCAACACCTGGTACAAAAATTCTCATAAAGGACATTGGAACTAGCTCACGTTGAATCCTCTGTATACTTCACATTTATTTACATTTCCTATAAAACTAATATCTGGCATTTATGTAACATCTTGAAACAATGGGAAGTATATAAGACGAGTTATGCTAATCAAGCCCTTTATTTTCATAGATTTAAGGCCAGAAGGGACCACAGTAATCATCTAGACTGACCTTCTGTATAACACAGACCACAGGACTTCCTTGAATTCCTTCCTGTTTTGGATGTTTCTAAAAGAAATGCTAAAATTCAATCCTGATTTAAAAATTGCCAAAAATTTAACGTACGTTAAAGGAGGAGGGTTCCAGACCCTGGCCTCTAGCTTGAGTCTGAAGATCTACATTGTGGTTAAAAATCCCCATAGCCTGAGGCTTCTGAATCTAAATCAGATGACATGGACCAGCTGTGGGTATTTAATTGCAGTGCAGACATACCCTCTGACTCTGGCATAGAGCACTGACTCTCAGGCTATTTTCTTGGAGTCCTTCCACAAGAGCCCAATTTGCTCCTTATTATTTCTCTCAAACTGAGTTCTCTCAGACCTGTTAAAAACATCACCCAGCTGATCAGGACTAGCTGCTGCTGATCAGGTAGCTAATCTGGACAGGTGTGGCTGAGCTCAGCTACTCTTAAAGGGCCATCCAATTTATGACAATCACATTATGACCACAGTGTACTTGCTGGGGGTTCATGTGACTTGACTCCTCAGTCCTAAATCTTTTTCAGAGTTATTTCCCATGACAGATTCTTTCATGCTCTAAACTTAGTCTCCATTCTTTGTTCCTAGATGGATGACTCTACATGTGGCTGAACTGAAAAATTGTTTGCTTTCACTCATTTTACCAACTGCTCCAGAGTGCTCTGTAGCAATGATCAGCAGAGGATGACAATTCTGGAAAGCAGATATTCAAAAAGAAAAGCTGTGCTCAAAGCCAATTTACAGCAGTAGATAAAAGTCACAGTCTGTCTAGGTCACAACAGAGCAGGCAAAAGTCTAGGCCTGGGAGCCTCCAGCAGATACTATATTTAACAGTAGCTTCTAAATATAACAAGACTTTAGAGGGGATTAGAAACTACAACTGTCTGGCCTTGCGGAAAAACGCTAGCAATTGTATTCAATTGACAATTGTGCCAAATATCTGTGGATAGTGCAAAAAATAATAAAAGGAGACCTATAAATAGCATCTTCTTAGAATCTTAATATTTAAGAATCTAGCTTTCTGAAAGCCATAAGCAGGCTTTCTTGAGCCAGCAGTATACACCTATATACGATGTAAGTGGTGCTAATTACTGCTGTGCACACCACCACCTACCTGTTTTATGGCAGTAAGCAGCTATGGTGAAAAAGAGGTGGGACACACCCTTTGCGGGAAGATGCCTATTGGACAAAGCACGCCAACAAAGGGAAATTACAGTGAAAAGTCTAATTCATTGAGCCTTATGTTTGAGTTTAGCGTTAAAGGCCCGCTTTATCTGCGATGCTGACTGTGCCGCGGGGTTTAATCAGCGAGTAGTTAATACAACGCCTGGCAGGTAGTGGGGCGCTCTAGGAATGCCAACAGCATGGCCCCCCCACAAGCGATCAGGCCGTACCGCTTCCCGGGGAGCAGGACAGGAGATGCTCGGAGTGTCCCGTGAGCGCTCTGGCAGCCCCGCTCCCAGGGCAGCCTGGTTCTGTGCAGACGAGCTGGCCCAGGCAGGCTCCGCGCAGCAGGCGCTGTGCACCGCAGTGGGTGGGGAGGTTGCGCGAACCGACTCCCAAGGGAGAACCAGGATTCCCTCCGCCGGGGCTGGGCCCCGGGGGCACCACTAAGCCCCTCGCCCGTAGTGCTCCCTACGCCGCCCTGCCGAGTCCCCGCCCTGGCGCAGCCAGGCACCTGCTCCGAGCCAGCGCTACCCAAGCCCCTTCCCAGCGCGTGCAGTCCCGCCCTGGGGCGGCCGCCACCCCCTCCTGCACCGCGGGGCTAACTCTGCACCCCACGCGTCTGGCCCCATGAGCTAGGCCAGCCCCGGCGGGCCGCCGCAGCTCGCCCGCCCACTGCAGCAGCCGCTGCTCTCCCCGCCCCGGCCTCGCCTCCTCACCCGCCCGCTGGAGCCGCCGCGGCCGTTCCCCCGGGCCCAGGCGGGCAAAGCCCAGCAGCCAGGCGGCCGGCGTTGTACAGGGAGCCGGTGGGCTGCGAAGGGACTGGAGGGGCCGCGGCAGGGGCGGGCACCGCCTCCCGGAGGCGGGTCGGCAGTGACAGCTGGAGAGCATGGGCGGGGCCCGAGCCGGCCTCTAGGTACAGACACTGGGCGGTGCGGCGCCGCCTGCTCCCCGGCTGCATCCAGACGGCGCTGTAGCCGCAGCGGCAGGTTCCTCCGGGGGTAGCGTCCCAGGGAGCGCGTAGGAATCCCGGCGGGCAGCTGGCTCCGCTGCGGCGCTGGTGAGCACCTCGGGGCGGGGTGAGTGAGCCGGGGAGGTAGGGGGGGAAGGATGCTGCTGCTGGGCACGGAGCCTTTGATGGCGTGGGGCGAGTGGGTACCAAGTACCGCCCTGGAGGGTGGGCACGACTGGGCTCTGTGCCAGGCTGCTCCTTTCTACCCCCCCCGTCTGTAGCCCATTGCGAGTGGGGCCCCCCTTCCCCGCCCACCCTTCTGCCCACTGCGAGCTGGACCCGGCGCCGGGACCCCCGGCCCTGCTGGGTGGGGTGCAGTAAGTTGCGCTGTCACCGCCAGCACCGCCGTGAACAGAGCTGGAGGGATCCACCCTGCTGCATTCATCTCCCGGGCTGCTGCTCGCTGCGGAAAACTGCCTCCTAACTCCCCCAGCCTCCCACACCCAGGAGGCTGTGTGGGGTGGCCGCCGGTGCTAGCCCTTCAGATGCTCATCCTGATGCAGGATGGTCTCACTGTACAGCGGAATGTGGTCTCCACCCCTCTGCAACTCTGGAGCAGCCATCAGAAGAGCTGGGGTGGGGCTGGGGAGCGGCTTGGTTAAAAGGGATTTCATCGCTCCTTAGGTGCCATTGTCCACCTGTTTAAAGTGGTGGTGGGGATCCCCCCCCCAACAAACTCTCTGGGTGAGATCGCGTAAAGCCCCTCTGCTCCCCTCACTGCTCTGTTCTGGAGAGGGAGCTGGCATGAATGAGCCTGAGCTATTCCTCTAGCTCTATCCATCTCATACCTCAGAGTGGGGGTGGGACAATTGTACTGTGTATGTCTGTCTAGATATCCATTCCTCTGAATTTTTAGGGTTTCTGTTTTGTTTATTTCCTTTTTTTATTTGTATTACTTGACACCAAATCTTGCTTTCCTTGATTTCAATGGGGACTGTTCATTTGAGAGAGGCCAACAGGATTTGGACCCAAAACTGCAAGCCCTACAAGCATGGAATTCCCCCTGAAGTAGATAAGAGGCCTGCACTTAGAGGATTTGCAGGATAAGGCCTTCATTTATGAAAGGTGTCCAAAGGGTGATGGGGCTCCTAATAAGCATTATTTATATAATGTACTTGCTTAAAAGCACACAATTGGTTGTCTTCAATTTCCTTTTCTGTGTCAACATTTAAAAAACAAACCGTGCTGGAAATTTGGATGAGTAGTCTGGACATCTATTTTCAATGTAATTCCTGTTTGTTGGCCTGTCTATATATCTTTAATGACTGACTGAGATTTGAGAACTGTTTTCTTTCCCCCCACACCCCTTCACGTTGGCATCACAAGCAGCCTTCAGATTTTAGGCCTCTGCAACTGCATGGAGCTCAGTGGAGAAGAAGGGGTTAATTTTTGATTAAAAAGGGAAGTGAAGGAGGGTATAGTTCTCAAGCAGCAAACATGCAATGTTTTTCTGATTATTATGCTGTTAAATATTTACAATTTGTCACAGTTATCATCCAACCATAGATCATTAGTCCCTTAAATGATTCAAATCGATTCAAATGTAACTTGTTGCCTGCAAATAAAAAAATGCCATCAATGTAAAACAAACAACCCTTCCCCCACCCAACCCCCTTCCAACCTCCTAATAAAACTGATTTTCAAAATGAGTAATTGTGTAAAATGCATCTAGTGAACTTTATGGCTGGGAAGAAAATTAATTCCACTTCCTTTCAGAATTCCTTCTCTTTTGTGACTTTCCCTCACAGAGATCATTATCACGTTCTTAGGCCTTGCTCCTGCAAATATGCATATATGGTATCTCTTTTTACAAGATATTGAGACTACTGATCTACTGATAGCAGACTACTGATCTACTGATACTATATACATGTATGTTTTCAGGAGTGGTGTTTCTGCTCTGACTTCCGTACATCTCAGGTGGCAGAGGCAGAAACTGCACTTCATGGTTTGCCCAAGTGTAGTGGTGCAGTTGAGGAGCTAAAGGGGACAAATGTATGCAGGGATGTTGGACACTGGCACTCTGCAAGGGGGCATATGGAGTATATAATACATACATTTATTGATTGCTACCCATGTGAATATATATCAGTGTTGATTATATAATTTAATGGGGCCTTGGCACAAAAAAATCTTTAACTTTGAGGTAAGGTTGCTACACTGCACAACTTTCCGATGCATACTCTAAAAACCAAGGAAATAAGCAAAGTTATTCAATGCCCAACCTATGCTTTACTCATCATTTCCCCTTCTTATCTTCTATTATCTCTATCCACCCACAACCCACCATCATTCTGAACGACTAACAGCAGCCTTAATTCCAGCCATACATAACATACGCCAGGGGTTCTCAAACTGGGGGTCAGGACCCCTCAGGGGGTCCCGAGGTTATTACATGGGGGGTTGCGAGCTGTCAGCCTCCACCCCAAACCTTGCTTTGCCTCCGGCATTTATAATGGTGTTAAATATATTAAAAAAGTGTTTTTAATGTATTAGGAGGGTGACACTCAAAGGCTTGCTATGTGAAAGGGGTCACCAATACAAAAGTTTGAGAACCACTGACATACACCAACAGACACAAATATGCAGATTTCAACTCTAATTTTTACATTAAAATTAATACCAAATATAGGACAATCATTAACATACATCACCCACTCATATAAGTTTTCCTAAACAATACAGAAAAACATATCTCACAGCCATCATTACCTAACTCACTTTCCCACCCCAGTAAAACAATCTCAGAGCTATGCATGAAGTAAGTTAGGGAAGTGATACCAACCCAATATTTTTCCAAGGTAGAGCTGATTTTTTGTAAGAGAAATTTTTTCTTTGGAAAATGACCTCTTTTCAGAAATGAAATGAAAAATTTAGCAAAAAAAAAAAAAAAAAAAGGGGTGCTCTCTTTCAATTTTTTAAAAAATTTCACAACTTTTTATTTTGAAAAACTATTCTGAAAACCTAGTTCCGGATAAATGGAGAATTTCTTTAATGGTTTAAACTAAAAATGCCATGGGGGAAAAATGAAGAATACATTCTGAATTCTGAAAAACAGAAACAATGTAATATTTTGTGTTTATGTGAATGTGTGTATTTTGGAGTTTTTAACCCACTGTATTCTAGGAACAGTTATGTCCTCAGTCACTGGAGGCTTTGTGTGAATTGTGAATTTTGGAAAAAATTTTAGCATGAATATCTTAATTCAAGACTTTTGAAGGCTTCGGTAGCTCAGTTTCTCATCTAAAGTCCTATATCATCTCCCTTTACTCCATTGGGACCTACGGTTTAAGTGAAGGGGAAGCACACCGAATTCTTTTACCCCTGTTGCTGTGTTCAGGGACAGTTCTGAAAATCCATTCTCTTAATCTTCTGGAGCATGGGGTTCACTTTTCCCTTTACGAGATGAGATGGGAAAATTTTGGCACAGAACTCTTCTTATGCCTGGGTCCCCTATCTCTCCCCCAATCTAGAGGTAATGTATTTCTCTCCACAACCTTCTCTGAGTTTGACATACTCTTTCATTAATATGGTATATGTGTAATTTTTATATATATATTTTGGGAGGCACCTGCCTGCAGGTGAATTTGGAGGGTGGAGCGGCTGGGAGAAGGCTCTTTGCGAAGTCAGGAATACAGAGTGAAAGGTTATCTTCCCTGCTGTTTGATGCTTGGTTTTGCTACTTTTGGGCATATCACTATATAGTTACAGTGCATTTTGTTAATTGTTCACAATGTCTCCATAATATGATAAAAGAGACTTTGTAGGGGGGAATTTGTTTGAAATTAAGGGAAAAAAACACAGTTGGGCCTCATGGCAACCCCTAATTTATCTACCTCCCCATCCTTTGGCTTTGTGGAGGGATTTTGTTAAATATATGTAGATTTTTTTTAAATGTTCCACTATATTTACTTGGGTTTCTCCTGATTCTGAGGTCGGGAGCCTGGAAAGATCAGCAAAGGACACGTGACCTAAAGGAATATGTAAGGGGCCTTTAGAAACTATGAATAAACAAATTACTAGTTTGGTGAGCTTCATTTCCTCCAGGTAGTATAGTTCAGTGTCTTTGTTTTTTAATTCAGTCTAATGAATGGGAATGGTTGAAAATGAAGGAAGTTCTCTGGCATTACAGGCTTACTTTTTATTTTTATTTTTTGGAGGTGCTGGGGTGACTGGTGTGAAATGCTAGCAGCAAAGATAATTTGATCTTTTTTCTTATTAAGATCTGGTACTATCGATTTAATTTTTTTTTTCTGGAGGTGAAACTGATAAATTAATCAATGTAAAGGTTAAAAAAGACGAGCTATCTGCTTGGTCATCTCTGTGTGAACCTCTTTCAGGTGTTGCTAACTGCAGCCCCAGTTAACTGCACAGATGCAGGCTCTGTTAGTGCAGCTCATTGCAGGATCAACTCAGCAACTCTCTTGTTTACTTTGTCAAGTT